AAGGACTTCATTCTTCTTGGATCAACTATCAACACTCACGGAAGCAACAGTCAAGAGATCAGACGACGTATTGCATTAGGCAAATCTGCTGCACAAGACCTTTTTTCAAGTGTTGAAGAGCAAAGATGTCAACTTGAGGACTAAGGTGCGCCTGACTCAAGCCGTGGTATTTTCAATAACCTCATATGCATGAGAAAGCTGGACAGTGAATAAGGAAGACCGTAGAAGAATTGATGCATCCGAGTTATGGTTTTGGAGGAGAATACTACAGGTGCCATGGACTGCCAAAGAACCAATAGATCTGTTTTGGAAGAAGTGCAGCCAGAGTACTCTTTAGAGGCCAAGATGGCCAAACTTCATCTCTCATACTTTGGACATATTGGCAGGAGGGACCAGTCACTGGAGAAGGATATCATGTTTGATAAGGTGGAGGGTCAGAGAAAAAGAGGAAGACCCCTAATGAGATGGATTGGCCAGGTGGCAGCATCGATGGACTCAAGTGTGGCAACAGTGGTGAGGTTGGCCCAGGAGCCTTGGTGGGGTAGTGGTTATGTGCTCAGCTGCAGGAAATTCTTTATAGACTTGTGATGTGTCAGAATGGATCCTAAAGCACTTAACAACAACAAACTGGAATTCAGCAAAGTTGAAGGAGTGACCTGAAATCACTCAGAAGGTTGCACAGTCAAAATTCAAAGTGAAGTCTGTATTATGCTAAAGATAATCACCTCTTCATGATACGATGCCATGTCCAGAACTTAAATTTCTCAGGTATCAAATTCTGTCAGAGGGCAGTTATCTTAACTGTTGTTGTTAGGTGCCATCGAGTTGATACTGACTCATATGCACAACAGGATGAAACACTGCCTGGTCCTGGGCCAACCTCACAACTGTTGCCACGCTTGATTCCAATGATGCTGCTGCTTTGCAATCCATCTTGCTGGGGGTCTTCCTCTTTTTCTCTGACCCTCCACCTTACCAAACATGATATCCTTCTCCAGCAACTGGTCCCTCCTGACAATA